TTAGTACCTGGACCCTTTTTTTTTAAATTTGGAAATGTCTTTTACATTATTGTAAGGAATTTTTCTCGTATATTCTGCATATTGGTCATTTATCAGAAATACTTATAAATACCTTCTCCTGTGTATTCCTTCTCCGCTTGTCTTTTCAGACCTATGAAGGTGGGGTTTTTTTTGAGGGGGGTACAGGGGATTGAACTCGGGACCTTGCGCTTGCGAGGCAGGCGGCAGAACCACTGAGCTAAGTCCCTGCCCCCTTTATGAAGGGTGGTTTTTGGAACATGATTTTTTGCTTTAGCTTTTTTTTTTTTGGAGCCAAAGTTCACTATGTAGTTCAGGCTGGACTTGAACTCACTTTGTAGCCCAGGCTGGCCTCGAACTCTTGGTGATCTTCCTGCCTCAGCCTCCCAGGTGCTAGGCAGGCACTGCCATGTCTGGCCTGGAACAGAGGTTTTTTGTTTTGTTTTGTTTTGGTACTGGGGATTGAACTTGGGTCCTTGGGCTTTTGAGGCAGGTGGTGGAACCACTGAGCTAAAGCCCCAGCCCAGAACAGGTTTTTAATACAGAGCAGAGATGTTTGGATACAAGGCTATCTGGTTAATATTTTATGATTTTGTGTGATCTTTTTTGGCTTCTTGGATACACTCATTCTCTATGCTTTTGTTTGCCTCTTCGTATCCTTTTTTAAAAACATTATTTTTGTTGTTGTTTTGTTCTGTTTGAGACAAGGTCTTGCTTTGTAGTTCAGGCTGGCCTTGAACTCACAGCAATCCTCCTGCCTCAGCCTCCCAAGTGCTAGGATTACAGGCCTGTGCCACCACACCTGGCTTTCATATCCATTTTGTGGCACAGTCATTTATTAACAGACCTAAACATGTCGCTGTAAATATATATTCTACCCGCAGACACTCTCCTCTTCAATTAGCGCTGGCTGTGTCTTCATGAAGTCAGTGTCACCAGATGAGGCCTGTTTTGCTCGGTGGTAGTACGCTAGTCATTGAAAAGATGAATTCTGCAAGGTTATTCACAAGGCTGTGTCAAGTCTGCCTCCCTAAGGATAAGCTTTGAGATGCTGTAGGTGAAGACAGGGCAAGGTGAGGCGTGGGAAGGTGAAAGATTGGTCTGCACGTGTGTGTCCAACTTCATGGCTCGTCACAGGGTGCACGTTCAGAAAGTGACAGTTGCCGTGGTCTGCTCGCGACATCACAGGGACATCCAGCGGGCAGCCGCTCAGGCCAAGGTGAAGGTGTTGGCTTGAACAGAGTGGATTCCAAGTTCCTGAATGACAGCATAGGCAGCTGTTAGCTGTGGTGACCTGGGTGTCAGAGGTGTCACCCGTCAGAAGCCAGTGGGGGGGGATTTAGCTCAGTGGTTTCACCGCCTGCTGTGCAAGCGCAAGGACCCGAGTTCGATCCCCGGTACCAAAAACAAAACAAAACAAAAAGCCAGTGGGAATGTGCTGCTTAGCTACTTGATCTGTAAACTCCGTGACAAACGCAAGTAAATGAAAGAATCAAAAGCAGGTTTACTCAGGATTTCCTTTGGTATCAAAAGGAATAAAGAGATAAGGACACTGGCACAAATTGAAAGTTCTCTAAGTATTATAGCAAATTTCCCTCTAGTTTCATTCAGTTTAGCAGAATTTTAGATTGACTGCATAGATAGGAAGATTCCACTGACATACACCCAGGAGAACAGGATGAAGCTTCCGGTTCAGCAGCGAAATCCCAGTATAGAGCTGGCTGTTGAGAACAGTGAGCCCACAACAGTGCTGGAGTAGCCGGCAAGAGCTGCCCTGACCCCACAAGCTCTACCTGGGGTACGCCTGCTGCCACGCTCGGCACACAGCATCTCACTGGCTCCAGAAAGCAAGAGTTTTGCTGCCTTGTTGCCCTCTTGCTCTTATGCTTTCTATATTACTCCGAAGAAAGTACTGTGTGCAGCACTCTGCTTCTTCACCAGGGGAAGTTTAAGGACCTGCACTCTTTTTCACCTTCCAACCACCCAGTGAGTGTGAGGGCGAGGTCTGTTTGGCAGCTGCAGCCTGGAGTGGATAGGATGGGTCCCAGGGACACAGCAAGTGCACCTGGGTGTCCTGAGCAGTCTTGGTCTCCAGCTTTCCATTCCCCGACTCTGGCCCGTCACGTTTACCTTTTATCAGGCTGATTCAGAGCCTGTCCTGAGGATCGTCTCTAATCTCAAATCTCTTTCCATTAAGTTCCAAGAATCCTTCATTTATGGAGAACATTCAGGTTTTATTGAGACAGGGTCTTGCTGTAAAGTCTAGAATGGCCTTAATCTCATAGGCTGGCTAGCTAGCCTTGAATTGGAGGCAATCCTCCTGCCTCAGCCTCTCTCTCAGATGCTGGGATTATAGGTGTGTGCCCCATGCCTAGCTGGAGAATATTCAGTTTTTTAAAAAATTCTGCCCCATGTTTGTTTGTCTTTTGTTTGTTTGTTTGAGATGGGGTCTTACTGTGTTGCAGGCTGGTCTGGAACTCCCACCTTAGCTTAGCTTCCCAGAGTGCTGGGATTATAGGTGGGCTTGAGTTTGGAATTCTTCTGCCTCGGCCTCCAAGTGTGCTGGGGTTATATGGACATGTGCCAGTGTGCTGTGCTGTGCTCCTTTTTATTATATTTGAGCCAGAATCTTGCTGTTACCTAGCCTAGCCCTGAACTTGTGTCCTCTTCCCTCAGACTTCTTAGTAGTTGGGATTATAGATGTGTGCCAAGATGCTCAACTTTGCTTAAAATTTTTTAAATGTACAGTTCGGGGGTGTTCAGTACATTTATTTTGTTACATAGCCCCTATCACCACTCATCTCTAGACTGTTTTTGTCTCCCCAGACCGAAGTCCTGTGCTTACTGAACAGTAACTTCCGTTCCTCCCTCCCACCCCCTGGCATCTACCATTGTGCTTATTGTCTCTTAGTGCTTGCACCATGTTATTCTTTTTTTTTTTTTGGTACTGGGGATTGAACTCGGGTCCTTGCGCTTGCAGGGCAGGCGGCGGAACCACTGAGCTAAATCCCCAGCCCACCGTGTTATTCTTTTCAATCTACCATTCTTCAAGTTTTAAAGAAAAAAGTACATGACAGGCTTCTTTTTTAGGAGGGGTTCTGGGATCGAACTCAGGACCTTGCACTTGTGAGGCAGGCAGCGGCACCACTGAGCTAAACCTCGGCCCCATGACAGGCTTCTAATAAATTAAAGTTCTGGTTTTAGTGGCCATTAAAATACTACTAACAAAGTTCAGTTACAATTTTTCTATAACCTAAAGTAAGGTATCAAAAGGAGGAAAAATTGCCAGGCAAGGTGGAACACTCCTGTAATCTGAGCACTTGGGAGGCTGAGACAGGAGGATTGTGAGTTTAAGGGCAATTTATGCTACGTAGTAAGAGCCTGTCTCAAAACCACAAAATCTACTGGTGTACTAATATATATATTTTTTTATTCCAAAGAAGAACTATTGTTAGAAATTGTGTATACACATGTTGAGTACCACATTGTCTCTTTCTTTTTTTTTGGTACCGGGGATTGAACTCGGGACCTTGTGCTTGCGAGGCAGGCGCCTGAACCACTGAGCTAAATCCCCAGCCCAACCACATTGTTTCTGTGGTTTGAGAAACCCAAAGTATAAATAAATACCAAAATGTATAATAGACATTGGGAAATGGGAAGAAAATGTTCAAATGAGATTGAGGAACAGGAGAGGGGAGGGGAAAGGAAAGAAGGGACAGGAAGAAAAGAGAATAGAAGGGAAAAATGTTAAAGTTTTTTTAAAAGAGGAGAAGAGGGGTCAAAGGGAGGGGAAGGGAATGGGAAAAAAATGAAACAAAGATATATTATGTACAGGTACAAATTCCCTGTGATGTTACCATGTATATATAAAATGTACCAATGAAAAAATTGTGTATAACTGAAAATTTATATTTATTTTGGTACCGGGGATTGAACTTGGGTCCTTGCGCTTGCGCAGCAGGCGGCAAAATCACTGAGCTAAACCCCCAGCCTGAAATTTTATATTTGAAGAGTCTATTTTTAAGTTTGTCAGTGGGATTCATAGTAAATCACTGTTTCATCCATTAGTGTTTCCTTTAGAAACAGTTTCATATCTTTTTTTCTTTCTGGTACTGGAGTTTAAACCAAGGCCATGTGCGTGCTAGGCAAACTGTGTACCTCTGGAGTACATCCCCCACCCTTTAAAAAATTTTGTTTTACATTTTGGTTTTTTGAGACAAGGTCTCTGTAGCCCAGGCCGGCCTTGAATTCACAGCAGTCTTTCACCTCAGCCCTCTGCTTCAGGCTCCCGAGTGCTGAGGTTATAAATGCATCATGTCCATTGTATGTTTTAATTTTGAGACAAAGTCTTGCTGAGTTGCCCATGCTGGCTTCAAACTTTTTTTTTTTTTTTTGGTACCAGGGATCGATCTTGGGCCCTTGCACTTGTGAGGCAGGGGGCAGAACCACTGAGCTAAATCCTCGGCCCTGGCTTCAAACTTTTGATCCTGCTGTCTCAGTTTCTTTGGTAGCTGGGATTACACATTGGGGCTACCTGCCCCAACTATATGTGTATTTTTTAACCGATGCTTTTCAGGACTTTATTTAAAGAGTAGTAATGTCAGCGTAGTTTATTTTTTTCAGAGCAATTTAAAAGGAAATATTTCTTACACACTTTTAGAAACATTTCTTCATATCTCTTAAGAGATGGGTGTGGTGGTGCATGCCTGTAAACCAAGAACTTTGGAAGGCTGAGGCAGGAGGATTGGAAGTTCAAGATCAATCTGGGCAGTTTAGCAAGTGAGCAAGACCTTGTCTCAATAAAAAAATGGGATGGAACTAAGCTGGAAAGCCCTGGTTCATCCCCACTACTGGGGAAAAAGTTTTTAAAGAGGTTATTAAGCTAGCAGTCATTTTTATCTTTGATGTCAAAAATTTAGAATTCAGATGTGTCATTTTGTCAGCAATTTTCTTTCCTCACGTGTACTTTGTATCATTTTTAGGCAAAGTGTTTCATGGACTTCAAAGCTGGAGGCACCTTGTGTCACATTCTTGGGGCTGCTTACAAGTATAAAAACGAACAGGGGTGGTAAGTTTGTATATGTAAGTGTTTTCATGTGAAATCATGTTCTTTTGTATGGCATTAGAGAATTCTGTAAGCATAGTATGATTGAGTATGAGGTAAGTTATGTTTTATCAAGAGCCCTGATAAACTTTTTTTTTATAAACTTTATTCTACATAGAATATCAAACAACTAATATTTGATAGGCAAAAGTTTGGGGGTTTTTTGTTTTTTGTGCTAGAGATGGACTCATCCTGTTGCAGGCTTAGAATGCACTTAGATTGACTTTCTCAGATTCCACAGCTGGTCCCATGGCGCAGTGGTTATCCTGCTGTGCCTGACTTAATTCACTTGCTGTGACACCTTCTAGGCTCATCCTTGTGACAAATAACAGGATTTTGTTCTGAATGACCAAATAGTATTCCATTTTGTGTAATGACACATTTACTTTATCTATTCCCCTGTCGATGGTGGTGTAGTTTTATTTGAGTCTGGACTAGTGTACGGCACTCCAGTTGCACTTGGCTAGCGTGCACGAAGCCCTGGGTTCCATCCTCAGTACTATGATCCAAAGCATTGGATAAACATGATAGGGCAGATGTCTCTGGTAATACTCAGTCCATTCCTCTGAGTACATAACCATTAATGGGATTGGTAGATCACATAATACTTTCATTTATTTATATATTTCATCTGTACTTCTCTTCGGTGGTCATACTGGAAACAGCCCAGTACCTTCCTAGTGAGCTACATCCCTGGCACTTTCTGTAATTCTTTTTTTGGTTTTTTTTTGGTATCGGGGATAGAACTTGGGACCTTGCGTTTGCGCAGCAGGTGCCAGAACCACTGAGCTAAATCTCTGGCCCCAATTTGTTGGTCATTCTTACAGTTCTAAACAGATTCCTGTATGTTGTGATCATATTTTATACCCTTCAAAGAGATTATTGAATGAGAACATTTTGTTTCCATTTTTTGCTTGGCAGTGAGAAATTAGGCCCAGTGAACAAAAGTTTAGATACTTTCCTAATGTGGAAGATGACCTTTTAGTTTTTCCTATTATACTATTTGCTGCTGATGTTTCTTTTTTTTTTTAGTGTATAATTTTATTATCGTTCACTAAATGCACACATGTACAAAAATTAAAATTATTCAAAGAAAAACAATGCAAGGAAAAAAACTAATAATATTCAAATATAATAGAACTCAAAGCAAAACTGGAAAGTACTTAAACATTTTTCCATATAATTAAAAAAAAATCTCAAGCATTAACAAGACATCAGAAGATGTGATTTGTTTTAGAAAGATTTTCAAAACTAATATTGGACAAATAGTGGCCTGGAGAGAAAATTCTCATTAACTACTAGACTCCACATAGGCCAAAATTTTTTTAAATTTAAATTTCAGTACAGTCATGTGAGACGTGATGGAAATATAATCTGAGAAATATGTTATTAGAGAATTTCAGCCATGTGTATCTCGAAGTACCACACAGAGTGCCAACTTCTAAGTGCAAACTGAGAAGGTATATGTCAATCATCTGTGATGGCCTCTCGATATTATCCAAGTATGCAGTTAAACACGAGATACACGAGGCTACCACAGGCATAGAAGCACACTGTTTTACAGTAAACTCTTTTATATAAGTAGGATTATGCTCTAAAAGATGAAAAGCACAGTGTGTTATGATGAGTACCTAAAGCAGTAACAGTCATTTATCATACTTTTGAGTACTGTGTACTGTACATAGTTGTAGGTGCTTCTTCTGGAAACACCCTTCTCTCCTTTGATCTCAGTGATTCTTCCTTCCCAACCCACTGATGAGCTTCAGCCTAGTCTCTGTCTACATCTCTTCCTATAGTTTTAAACACAATCTATATATGGATTCTTTCCAG